CGTCCCTGTGGATTTATGTGTGTCTTATACTTACAGTGTACAGTATGTACCTAAGGCCCTAAACAATGTATTTAGCCTTTCTACATCTCTTTCTTCTCTGGTATGACTGAGAGAATAATATACATTTCAGAAACAAAATGCTAAATAAATGCTCTAAAGTATCTATCAACTGGGCATGGTGGAGTGCACTTGTGGTGTCTGGATAGATCTTTTCCTTCTTTGCTGTTCTCATTTCCAACTTATGTCCCATTTGCCTTCCCTTTGTGGACAACTTCTTCTTCCTTTCTGCCTTTTGTCTTGCCTTTTTCTTTTCTACTACCTCTTGCTTCTCCCTCCATTTGTCCTCCTTTCCTTTTATTTTTCTGCCTTCCTGAGCCTGGCTAGCGCTGATGCAAACGCCTTATGCATATCTGATGCTTCTCACTGCTACCTTGAGCTTTTGGAGTGAACTGAGTGAGTGATGGCAAGTTGTCAGAAAGAGGAAATTATATTGCCGCAGCTTGGTAAGTTCATACTTATAATACATGCTCTGTACAAGCAAAGAAAGCTTTATGTTGTGACAGAACCAGCCCTATATTGGAAAAGCCTTCTGTACTCAAGTTGTTCTAACCTCACAAAAAGTACTACGTCAGAAAACACTATGTTGCTTAGTACTTGATGAATATTTCTATTTCTTTAATGCCAGGAACAACAAAGCCATACCCCGCTGATATTGTGGTGCAATTCAAGGACATCTATACACTGATGGGCCAAAATGTGACTCTTGAGTGTTTTGCACTTGGAAAGTAAGTGTACTTTTCACGAACATGTCTAGCGTCTTGTTAGTGTTCCTGCCCTTTAAAGAAATGTATAATATAAGTGTTTAGCTGTAGTCAGTTGTCTTTGAGCACTCAGGGATCTTTAGCTGTGCTATCTTTCATTTAAAGTCCTGTTCCTGACATCCGGTGGCGGAAAGTCCTAGAGCCAATGCCAAGCACTGCCGAGATCAGTACCTCGGGGGCTGTCCTCAAGATCTTCAATATCCAGCTAGAAGATGAAGGCCTATATGAATGTGAGGCTGAGAACATCAGAGGAAAGGATAGGCACCAGGCGAGAATTTATGTTCAAGGTAAATATGTTAATTTTCCATAAATTTTATCAATGTCTTCTTCAGAGGCATTTCCAAACTTGAAAAGCTACTACATGATCAATAACAATTTTAAGAGGTTATATATCTTACATGTACATCATGCAAAAAGATGAAGTGTTTATCTCATTTCTACTTAAATGACAACTCTGAGTTATAAAAATATAAGTTCGTACTTTGGTGTCTTAGTAGCAATAGAGTGATAGTCTTATTCTTGGTAGTTTTTAAAATATATAGTGTAGCTCATGTATTCCCTTGATAAGTCTGTTCTTTTAGCATTTTTGTAGAATAATCTGTACACTATGACTTAGTTTGATTCAGTGATTTTCAAGCACTTTAGCATCAAAATCTCCTGAGGGCTCATGAAAGTACAAACTGATGGACACCACCCTCAGAATTTCTGATTCTCAAGATACACGGTGGGCTCAAGAATTTGTATGTCTATTAAGTTACCAGAAGATGCTGGTATTCCTGGTCTCAGAGCCACACTCTGAGAACCAATAGTATACAGAATCTCCTTTGAAAAAGTTATCTTGGCACAAGCATTTGTGTCTCATACATTAGGCTTTCATCTAGAAAGACAGGATTTTTGCAGGCAACACTTAAAACTCCTGGCTTGTGGGCTAGCCAGGTAGCTCAGCAGACTAAAACACCAGCTTAGGTAAGTGCAGGGGACTGGAATTTGATCGCCATTCCATGCTGGCCCTGCTGTGGGATGCATTGAGACCGCAAATGAGACTGGGCATGGTGGAGTGCACTTGTAATCCCAGTGCTTGGGAGGCTAAAAAAAAGGAAGATCACTATGGGTCTGATCTGTACAGTGAGACCCGATAGAACCTGTACTAAATACATTTTTTAAACAAAGTAACTTCTGGCTGATGTCATTTCTTTAATGTTTCACAATGTTATATATAGCAGAAGCTTCAAGAAACTCACTTATTTTCAATAACTCTAGCAAATAAATGCCCTACTGCTCTTCTTCTAGTCTGTCTTAAACACAGTAAAAAAAAAAAAAAATCTTTTTTTTTTTTCTGTACTGGGGATTGAACTCAGGACCTTGTGCTTGCCAAGCAAGTGCTTATTCTACTGAGCTATCTCCCCAGCCCTTACAGTAAAAACTCTTGAAGGATTTGTCCATACTCTAAAAATGTCTCCATCTCCAGTTTTCTTCTCTCTGAAACAATGCCAATTTGATTTTCTTCTATACCTCTGCACTGAAAACTTTGACATTAAAGTTGGTAAAGCTGATGACCATTGTCAGTGGTATCATCTCTGATTTGATGCCACAATTGGCCATAGTTGATGCTCCTTCTTCACATTCACCTTCAGGATGTGCATCTGGAACCCACACACCATTAATTTCCTTTACGTCACTCCAGTTCTCCTTGGACATGCCTGCCTTTTCCATGCCTTCCTCATGATGGGGTGGTAAAGCTGTGCATTGGAACTTCTTGCCGATTTCAGTCACCTGTATTGTGATCTCAGGCATGACCATGGTTTTACATGCGATCTAAACTCTGAGAGTTCCAACCTAGACAGCTCCCTTGAACTCCAGCCTTGTATGTCCGCTGGCCTGATGGTATTAACCTGACACCTATCAAATATATGTGGTTGGCCTCCTTCTAGGAGGAAACTCCAGTGAGAGCCCCCCCTTTTTTTTTTAAAATAAAGCAACACATTCTATCAGGTTTCTGATGCTGATGGACCTGAGTTTATTTAGTACATTAAGAAAACTGCACTCCAGATTCTTTTTTAAAATTAATTTTATTGAGAAAGAAATAGCAATGAGACAGTTTCAAAACAGGTTAGTAGGACAGTTACAATAATTAATACATTGCATATTGTTGTCTTCATAGTAGTCATTCATAGTACAAGATGCAGACATGATATCCTGTCCTAACACTGTTAGTACAAATCTTTCTTCTCATTGAACTAAGAGAAAGTTGCTGTATAGCTATCCTAACGTGTGTGTGTGTGTGTGTGTGTGTGTGTGTGTTTATATATATTTCACTACAAAGTGGTCCTTCATTTATATCTCCCCTTTTTGTTTAGTTTTGTCCAAGATGGGTATTCCATTATAATTTAAATATTGTACGTGTGTTAATTCAGCAAAATAATCCAATATAGTCCAGTAATCCATAATAGTAGTGGTTTATCTGTAGGACTGGCAATGTCAGAAGTTGTTGACTTGAGTGTTTTATAGCTCAGCATATTAATAGGGCTTTACTTTTTATACCTCATGCTTATACTTTTCTGCTAGATAGTTAAGACCAAGATAAAGCAAGATCCGTATAGCAAGCAATGTGACTTTTGTATCTAATTTCTCTTCACATTGTACAAATCTTTCCCCTTTGGGGCCGGGGAGATGGTTCAGTAGAATGAGCACTTGCCTGGCAAGTACAAGGGTCTGAGTTCAATCCCCAGTTCTGCAAAAATAAATAAATAATAATAAATAAATCAATCTTTCTCCTTTTGCTCCAGTTTCCTAGCTCACTAGAATTCTCTACTTTCTAATACAAGCTGTGACCCAAATATAAAGCGAATGCTTAAATTTTAAAAATATGTATTAAAGTAAAAGACACAGCACTGTTCAGTCCCCTGAAAATACTCCCCTAGCTAGCTCGGAGCCTGCTTAGCGCATTGCCAAGAAATTCTTGCCAATTTCTGGAGCAATTTGAAATCCTCTTTCATCAGTATGAGTAAGAACTGTGGCCAGAACGGTGAATGGTGCTGCTGAGCACCAGCCGCAGGAAGCGGGCTCAGGAAGGGACACGGCGCTGGGTGTCCTCGTCCACCTGCTCACTGACCCGACCGTGCTCCTGTGCATTCTTAATCCAAAGATGACTAGAAAAGTAAGTGTATTAAGTTAATTCAGGACATCAGGGCATCCACAACAGCATATTCAAAGCGAGGGAAAAGATTCGAGGGGGATTAATGCCAGTGTGCCTTTTACAGTAAAGATACTTTTTTTTTCTTTTTTTAGTAAAGATCTTTAAAAAAAAAATCACTGTACTTTTTTATTTATCATACTCTGTAACTGATGCCTTAGAAGGACCAAGGTGAAAGAAGATGTATTTGCAGTAGGTAACTTAGAAGAAAAACTGTTTCTCTTTTACTAGTGAGAACTATGTTTTTTCTTTAGATCTTATCAAACCATCAGAAGATTCCATGATTAAACCCCACAGAGAATGTATCAAGGCGACTCAGTTGTTTGCTTTTCTCATTGTATTCTGTAAGGCGACATCTATGCGTTGCCTATGGGGGACCAAGTCAGGAACAGTGTTTCCTGTTTGAAATATTGATACATTTTTTTATATAGAATAAAGCTTGGGGGCCTGCCCTGTAGCTCAGTTCTTTAAGTGGCTGCTTCACCAAAGCAGGCAGGCTCAGGTTGCTGTGGTTCAATCCCCACAGCTCCAGCCAGCCAAACCTGCCCTGAAGGCATTCAGAGCAAAAAAACAAAACAAAACAAAACTTGTTTCAATCAGTACAAACATATCTTCCAATATTCAATTAATAAATATTTTCTCCATTTGTTAGGGACAAATATTATTGATTAGCAAAAGACATACTAAAGCAGATTATAAATAAACACATACACTATAAAATATATAGAGATACAGACATGCATAAACATATGAATAATGCTGATATCATTTGATAGGGTAATAAAATATTTTGATTCATAATTTATATACATGTAAAATATGTGACTCAAGATAAGTTTATTACTTTTGTACTAAATTAAATATAATAGAAATTTGCAGTTTCAAAGAAAATGAAATAAAGTGCTGCCCTCCAAAAAGGGATTCTCCTCCTTTGCTCGAGTCTGTTTACCTACATCTATTTGGACTATTAGGCTACTGAAATATTCAAAAGGACTCTCTGTTTATGTTGTTTTGCGCTAGAAATACTTTGTTCCTCGGGGAAACTTTTAGCATTTTCTCATGTCCCTAGCATTTTCTTTAGCTATTAAATAGATCTTATCAAATAATAGATGAGATGTGTTTCAGCCAACTACAGGTCTGTGTATGATTTCTAGTATGCAGAGTGTAGTTAAGTGACTAAGCCACATTTCCAGGCCCCAAAGATAAGAAACTATTTAATAGATAAAAACTCCATCAACCCAAGAAAGTATTTACCTGTGAAAGCAGGAAAAAAAAAATCCTAAATCCTTATGCCAAATGTAAAAAGATGGTATCATAGTTGAGATGTAATTCTCTAAACCCTAATTATCATTTTGACAGATTTCAAGGTTTCTGCTGAAGAAAAAGACCAAGCTAGCATGAGTTAGTGTTCCAACAAAACATAGATTCCAAGTAAGAAAGCAATGACTAAATTACCACTTCCTCACTTGGAGGCAGTGTGTGATTTCCACAGGGCGCTGACCTCTGTGAATGCCACGCTATTGGCCGTGAACTTGGCTTCAGGACACATTCAGTGTAATGATGTCTGCTGTACTCCCTATCGTAAAGTTGAAGTGCCGTATTTATACTCAACCATGCTGGGTATTAAGACTAGTATTTGACATTTCTGGTGTTCTTCACTTTTTAGCATTTCCTGAGTGGGTAGAACACATCAATGACACAGAGGTGGACATAGGCAGTGACCTCTACTGGCCTTGTGTGGCCACAGGGAAACCCATCCCTACGATTCGATGGCTAAAGAATGGCTATGCGGTACGTACATTCCTGCACTCACTCTGTCCTCCAAGTCCATGTTCAGGTACCATTTCAGGGTGGCCCTGGGATAAAGACAGCAGGAAAGTACACGCAGCTGGGCCCTGAAACTAGCATCACCACTAAAAAGCTAAGCAAGAAACTGAACATTAAGCATCTTCTTTCTGTTTAAACAGCTTTCTGCAGTCTTATCTTTCCTTCTCTCTCTCTTGTTTTTCCTTTGTTCCATGTTGCCTCCTCTTCCTACTTATCCATCTCCATGACCTGAAATTATCCCCTTTTTCTTGCCTCTGTTTCCCTACCCCCCCCCCCACAGAAACAGAGGTAAGAGAGACGTTCTAAGTCCTACCTTTAGCCCTGGGTACAAACAGCAGCAGTGGGACCCTTGTTTACCTCCCCACTGTAATCTCTCAGCTGGTCCGAGTGGGGAAAAGGTGGACTCTCAGCTCTGTAAGATCATAGGAGAAGAGCCACGGGCCGTGGTAAGTGGCTGTTGTCCTCGTGCCATGGGAATCTGCTCTGTGCCTGTGAGGTGATGGCGGGGGCCAGCGAGCCTAACCGACTTCAATCAAATGACCATCATGCCCACACCTACGTGGAAGTCTTTCTGTTGAGATTTATCCAACTCATGTGTTTTTACTTTCATTGCTTTCAGTACCACAAAGGGGAACTGAGACTGTATGACGTGACCTTTGAAAATGCCGGGATGTATCAGTGTATAGCGGAGAACACCTACGGGGCCATTTATGCAAATGCTGAGTTGAAGATCTTGGGTCAGTATGATTTCTAACTTGTTAAACAGTGATCAAGAAAACTATATATAAAAAGATAACGGCGTTCAGAAGTGGCATTTGATTTCACATTATGTTAATCGCTGAAATTAAAAACCTTTGACATATGGCTTGGAATGGAATGGTGTTTCCTTTCATTGAAGAACTCTTCAGTAGAGAAAAAGTAACTCTTTTATGGTAGTTTAAAATTCCAAGAATGTGTGAATCCTTCTTTCATTGAATTTCATCATTTTATTTTTTAACAACAAAGCTGAACTCTATAGCCCTTTTGAAGGAACATGGCATACAATTTTTAAAAAATATTTCTGAAATCACAAAACAAAATTTTCACGTGCCATGTCTTGTCCCCTCCTGTGTCAGAGCAGCTAAATACCACCTGCAGAATCACAAAACTGTCTGGGACTGATGCTATACACTGCAGGTGTCACTTTGGCCAAGTTCCCGTGTCTCACACCGACAGATGCTATTTAGAATACATAGCAGTCTTCACGTCCCTTACCCACCCTGACTTCTGCTTTCAGGGTATCTTGTTACCCTACAAAAAGCTGAAAGCTCTTGATATAAAATATTTCATCCCTCTCATCTAAAGCTATCTTTTTACTACCATTCCATATTCTCATCCAACAGAGAAAGCGTCTCTCCTCCTTTTGCTCTGTCTCTCTGACTTATTTTTGTTCTTCCCTTTCTATTTTCCCCCTAGCATTATGGATTGAATTTAGAGGTTCTGCACTGAGCCACACCCCAGGCCCTTCCTTGTTTTTATTTGAGGCAGGATCTGGCTGGGTTGATATGTTGCTCAGGATGAGTTCCAACTCACCACCCTCCTGCTTCTGCCTACCGCGTAGTAGGATGACAACCTATGCCACCAGGTTTTCTTCTTAGTTTTCCTCATATGTGATGTCAATATCATTCAGTGTGTGTGTGTGTGTGTGTGTGTGTGTGTGTGTGTGTTTCTCTTCTCTGCTGACTCAGAGCTCACACATTGTCTTCTTTCCATTTAAGCAGCTTTCTGTCGTCTTATCTTTCCTGTTCTTTCTCTCTCTTATTTTTCTACCCCCCACACCACTTCTCCATCTCCTCTGTGGGCCTTTCCTTCCTTCTCCTCTGCCTGCCTAGAAATCTCTCGCTCTCACAAGTTCCAGCTCTCTGATTCCATTCCATTTTTCACCCTTATCACTTCATGTATTCTATCTTACTAGTCCTGGATTGTTATCATTGCTTAAATTCGTATTTAATTTCTTCTCCCTTTGATTATCAGTAGACCTATAATTTCTGTCCTAGCAACTGATCCTCAGCTTCAGACTGAATAAACATGCTTCCTAGTAGAAATGTTCATCTAGGCACCTCCAGAGACAACCCCCGCTTGCCGTGTCTGAGGCTAAGTTTGTTATACCCCATCACACCCACGTCTTCTCCCCAGAGAGTCTCGTTCTGAAGAACAGCAGAGGCTGCCACATGGCTTCCGTGCATCTGGCACCTCCTGTCCACCTGGACCTGGGCTTCGCAATTTTTCACATTCTCCTTTTTCTCATTGCAACTCCTTTCACTGAAGTCTTGCTGTACCACACCTTCATATTATTTGAAGGAGATGTCACAGGTTTAACCAGATGGCAAGTAATAATGCAGGGAGTCATTTTCTAGAACTGATCACTGAAAATATAAAGCAGTGATACCGTGAGACCAATTTTGTCCTTGCTGTACCAAAAAGCAACTCATTACATGGTATCATTACGTGACACTAAAAGAAAATAAGAATGATAAGAACTAATCTTTCCCTATCACGGTAATGTTTAAGAACATACTCTGTTTTTCTTTTCTAGTCTAAATTCCTTAATGATATATTTTACTTTAGTTGCATTGAATATAAAGAAAGCTTCACTCACT